CCACCGCCGCTTCCCCTCGGATGCCAAACACTGCTTACACACGGTCACTTTCCTCAGGCGACCGCTACACAGCCACGCACAGAGTAACGATTTCTCCAAACGACGAAAGCATAAAATAGTATTTTGGATGCCAGAATATTTACAACGATTCTAAATATATGTATTAAAATGTGAACAAGATCGCCCGACACTGTGCTCATTTGCATATCCCAAGCCCCTTTCGTGACGTCACCAGAGCGCGCCTGACAAGCCGCGGGCTTTCTGACGTGGTGGGCTGAGTACAGGCCCACCAGACATGTGCACCACGGTCCAACAGCTGGGAACATGTTACCTTCGTTTGTGACAAGAAATTCTGCAGACGCGATTAACGATTTGAGACCAGGAGATAATCCCAAATTACCCAGGGGGGCCCATGTAGACACAGGCTCCTTATAAAGTGAAACAGGCGAAATAACAGGGCGGGTGTCATCCGAGGGAAAGACACTACATTGCTCGCTTTGGAAATGGAGGAAGGGACCACAACAAGCTAAGCTTTTCGGAGCTGAAAAAAGACAAGAAAACATTCTCTTGCCAGCGACACAAATCCAGTCTTTAGGCTTCTGATGCGTGGAAGTATAAAATGGGTTTGTTTCTTTAAATCTGCAACTCTATAGTAACATGCACCAGCAGCATTAGGGGGAGATGCCTTTGGGAGCGAAAGTAGAGCTGTAATGTCTAGGACATTAAAAAAAACTAAGCCCCGTGTGCTTTAACATTTATGGGGCCTCCCCGGTGAAGTAGGGGTAAAAGACAGCGCTATCGAGCTATCGTCAGGCACTGCAGCACAAGTTCGATCCCAGCCGGCCAGGGAGGAACCCACACAGCACAGCAGACCTCTCCTGACTCGCTTGCTGCTCCCCTAAGCAGTGTATTTCAGTCAGTCCGCTCTGCACACTCTGGTGAATTACTCAGTCTCCACACCTCACACAGTGGACAGTGCTTGTCCCTAGCACAGATTCATTAGAGAGAGTGTCATAAACCAGAATATAGTCAGAAAGCAAAAAGTGAAAGGCCAGCTAATTCACAAAGTGAAAACAGCACGTTAATAAAAAGCACCTAGAATAAAACACCAAAAGCTATATGTGCAAGGACAAACGCTAATATGAAGCAAAGTGAAAATAACAGTTGCCTCTTTTTGAGAGCATAAAACCAGGGGAGAGCGCGAACGCAGTCCCCCACTACCACAAATTATGCAGTCGAGTTTCCCACATTTGGGGAAATCACAGGGGTCAGCACATCCAGAGTGCAATAGATAAGCCTCGCCCTGGGAAAACCACCTTCGTGATCATGGTATCTCCCCTGCCAGGTAAGTATGAGTTGTCAGCCGTGCGCAGCACTTCACCTTTAGATTCAAACCACTCTAAGTAAGACCCGTTTTTCTCATTCAGTTTATCGACATCCTTATTTCTGGAGTAAGATGTTTTCAAACAAGTTTAACTATGCAGCATCATTTTATGTATTTAGGAATTACCAAAATCCTAGAAAATACATGCATACCAATAAGATAACCAGCAGTCACCATGCTTATCTACATATTCTACGCCCCTTTTGTTGATGTCTTTTGGCTCAACCTTTTCATAATAGCAGTGGCACTGTTCAAATGAAATTTAAAGTTAAAGGCCCACTACAGATTTACAGATAACCTTGATAAACAGTTCCTTCCTTCAAGAGCTTGGAGTTAGTTACCTCATTTTGATGTCTGTTGCAGTTAAATAAGCCGGTATCCATGTAACTGAAAAAGTCTGAATAGATGAAATTTAGCAAAACTGCATTTGAGGATCCAATCCCTGAACTGCTAAAAATATACTGTCAGCTCAGGGCTTCAGGCATAAATACAAAATAAGCTCTCTTTCATATGCATAGGGCAAATGATCACCCTTAACCTGAAAGATGATTGTGCAAACATTAATTCTAACTTTGAACAAAGGAAACTACAAAAATATCACAAAGTGCTCCAACCTACACTACACTCTTAGAGAAGTCGCAGGGGTCAGCAGAACTGGAGAGTGATGATGGCTCTCACTGTTCAAAACCAACTTTGTGATCAATTTCTCCCCTTCCAAACAAGAATAAATTATATTTTGATGTATCCCTAAAGCTTTCCATGCTTAACACTACAAGCACAGGGTCCTCCCCTTTGTTTTTTCAGGGTTCTCTGAAATAGCCACAACAGGACTACTACAGAATTCATTCTACAAGAAATTCCTGAGACCTCTTGGACTCATAGTCTTCAAAATAGAAAATACCACCTCAGGCAATGATTACTAAGTCACATGTTCCACACCCATATAATAAATATTATCAATCGTCTCAATCCTCCCCTTCCTTCTTCACTATAAACTAGAATTGGAGTTTTCAAGTTTAACTGTTCAACTGTGTCTACAAGATCATCAAGAACTAGCCCATTCCCCAAGTCTTTTATCTTCTAGTAGTGCTTTCTTCAATAACACAGAGCCCACTGAAGGGCCCATAATCTTCACATTGTTATGTGCCTAGTTAAAATATCCATTCAAGACCAGTCTGCCTTAGGGTAAACAAGTGACTCTTACAGTTTCTTGTAGTTCAAGCAGGTTAAGAACACAGAAACCCCCCTCCCCCGCAGACCTTAATATCCATTGAAGAGAGCCATAACAGTTGATTAGAAAATATAAGGAGATAGGTGTTTCTCAAATACCCATAAGTTATCATAGATAAAGTGGACAAGCTTCTTAGTTCATTTTAAGATTGCGAAAACTGTGTTGCCAAAACCAGAGCAGACAATAATCAGAGATTAATATCACATATAAACAGGCATTAAAAATAAGTCAGCATTAGTCTGCTCAGCATTAGTCGAACACAGCTGCTAGGTGTTCAACAGGTTTCATTCAACTGAATACACACATTAGAATTTTTTTTTAAGGGGAAAAGACTAACATTTATTATCTTCCTTTTCTGTGTTAAATGCTTTATGTTTGGGGCCTCCCTGGTAGCACAAGGGGTTAAGATGCAACCTATGAAGCTATCCGCAGCCACTGCAGCACGAGTTCGATCACCGGCCAGGGAGCAACACACATGGCGCAGCACACCTCTCCTGACTTGCCTGCTGCTCCCCTCAGTAGTATATTTCAGTCAATCTGCCTGTTCTGCTCCCTGCTCTGTCTCTGGTGAATCCTCTCACCAACGCCCCGCCCCCCACCTCTGGCCTATACCCCAGTTCTTGTATGCATAAATAAATAAATCTTTACACAAAATAAATGCCTTATGTTTGTTAACTTACTCTTTCAACAATCACATGGAATATTATCTCTACTTGCAGATGAAGACACTGAGTAACTTGCTGAAAAGCTTACAATTGGTAATTTCCAGGGATGTGATACAAATCCAAATCTGTATGACTCCATAATGGCCATTGCAGTGCCCCTTAAATTTTTTCATCAAGAAATGACAAATTACAAAGAAAATGAAAATCATATTCCCGGGATACTTTGGAAAACTACTGAATATCCACTTTGAACTGGATCTGTCTTCAAAGTCTTGTTTGCCTCTACAATTTAATTTTATATTTGTATTTTACTATACAATATATTAATCCTTGTTTAATGGAAAGGTTTTAAAAGACCAGTTAAATCATTCAATTCTTTCCTCTCAAAAAGAATAATTGCTGAGAAAGCCTTGCACTACAGGAAGGTACATCTTCCTTTGTGTAGTTCCTCGTGCCTGGCCTCAAAACCTGTATCCCAATTTGAAAAGTTGACTATAGCACAAACTACATTTAAAAAATCTTAAGGGCCTCCCCGGTGGCGAAGCGGTTGAGCGCTGGGTTGCGAAGCTTCCCGCGGCCTCTGCAGCGCTGGTTCTATCCCCGGCTGCTCCCCGGCCACCAGAGGAGGGTCCCGCATGGCGCGCAGACCTCTCCTGCCGCCCGCTGCTCCCCTCAGCAGTGTGCTTCGGTCCTTCTGCCTGCTCTGCTCCCCGCTCTGGCTCTGGTGAATTCTCTCACCCTCCCGCGCTTCTGACTGTACCCAGTGCATGTATAAACAAAACAAACACACAAATAAAATAAATAAATAAAACATGCCTCTATAAAAAAAAAAAATCTTAAGATTGATGATGATGAAAACGACAATTATTACTGTCAACTCAATGGCCTGAATAAGATATAAATAATACATAATTGCATAGCTACAGACGGCGTCAAGCAGTTAATGAAACACAATTCCGACCACGACCGATCCACTGAGTTTGACCAAACTAAATGAAGAGCTATCCTGGAACATATTAACACCATCTCTTTTTAACCCAACACCCTGGTTCCTTTAAAATCATAAGCATGAATTCTTCCTGTAGACATTTATGTAATGATTGCTATGTGCCCAGAAGCAAATCAAGCTAGAAGTTAAACAATGTACTGACTAGCAAACAAATCACACTTGACTATTACCATGGGACTGTCCCTATCTACCAAAATGGAGGACAAAACTTCTCGTATCTTCCACTCTCCCACAGTGGGACTTAAAATTCGGAGATAGTTCTGGGTAAAAGATAGGGTGCTGGGTTTTGGATTTGGCTTCGAGAAAACTGCACCGAATTTCTACGTCCTCGTTTTCCTCAACGCTGTGAACGCTTGAAATGTGTGGGATTTGTGTAGAGCTCAACATATTTCCTTCCTTAAATCTTAGGTATTTAAAGAGCTCTTACTTGCAATTTTTAGGGAGTTCCTTTTAAGCTGGGAAAAATTAAGGTTAAAAATAACAGCCAAAAGGTAGGGGATGAGTTACTCTCCCTAAGCAAATCATACTCTCCTAAGTAAGGGAAGAATTTGGAAACTATCTTCCAAACTGCTTTTCAGTCCCCTCAAAATTGACTATTTTCACAGCGGCCCCTCCCCAACTCTGTATTATAACCACAGCTCCTTTGTAGGCCAACTCTTCCCTCTCAGGACCAATGGACCAGGGCCCAGGCAATCCTGGGACATTACTTGCCTACTTGTTCAGCTACTTCTTAAAGTAGGCAGGCCGCGAAGAACTAACGGTCTCAGATACCACAGTGCTCCAGAAGCCACTCGCCGGAAGGCGTGAATGTGAGCGGGGATTGGGCGCCGAGCTCGCCCCACGGCTGTGGGGGGGCTGGACCACAATGCCTCGCGAGGGTAGGGCGGGAGCCGGAAAGGCAGCAGACAAAAGGGGCGGGTTGGGGGGGGTGGCGCATGAGCCGGGACTAGAACCCCATAATCGAGAAGCGGATTGATCTCCATATGACCCTTCCATGTCCCACCCCTGCAACTGGTCAGTGTGTCACTGCTACTGGCAACCCCAGTTTCCATCACAGGTCCGGGCAAAGGTGAGGACATGTAATGTGTAAAATCCAGCGAGCCTGGCTGTCCAAACTTTGGTTTCCAGCCATCTTTTTACTGTCAGGATGCAGGTCTCATGGGGACACCCTGCAGGGGACTCGCAGAAATCACGACGGAAATGGCGCCAAGCCAGGAATATCGAGCGGAAAATCTGCGCAGCGCGGAGGCTGGAGGCCGCGTGCAGCCAGGCCGCAGCCCCGCCCCTTCCGCCCTGCGCGTGACGTCATCGGCGCGGGCGGGCGGGCGGCTTTTGCGCGCCGGGGGCTGCGCCGCGCCGGCTCCGCTCGATTGCGCGCCTAAGCGGCAGGCGCGGAAATGCAGCGGGACTTAGTGAGTTTCCCTCTGTCCCCAGCGGTGCGGGTGAAGCTGGTTTCTGCGGGTTTCCAGACTGCTGAGGAGCTCCTCGAGGTGAAACCCTCCGAGCTCAGCAAAGGTAACGACTCCCAGCGGCCACCTGAGGGCGCCGGCCGCCGTCGGTGACCGTCAGTGACGCCTGGGTCTTGCTTCTCCCGCCTTCAAGCTTCAGCCCAGATTCTGCTGCCGCCCGTCACCCGCGTTTACCTTGGAACGGCCCCTTGACGCCACTTAAAAGTAGCCTGAATGGTTAGAATTGTGGTTTTGAAAACATTTACTAATTGCTTCCTCTGCCGGTGCCTGCTGAGCATTTAGGGGCTACATTATTTATACTCAGAAGTCACCTTTTCCCGTGGATTATTATGTCCAGTATGTAGATGAAGGAACTGATGTTTGGGGAAGTTAACCTTTTATGGTGACTGGGCTAGAAAGTAGTGGGGCAGGGTTGAAACCTAGAGGGCTCTCAAATCCAAGAGTCAGGGATTAAATTTGGGAAATGCAGAAGGGCCATAGGACTAGAGACATTAAGAGTGGGGAAAGGAAGTAGACCCCGCCCCAGCCCTACCCCCCACGTAGAGAAAGCAATAGAAAGGAGACCCAAAACCTCACATTCCGGAACACTAGATTTATACATTGGTGGGAATCACAGTATCCTAGCATGCAAAAATGAAGTTGGCTGGGGTCATTCTCACTGTGTATATGACACTACCTACTGCCCAGAATTGTGCTGTTAAGGTAGAACAGAACTTTAAGTCATCGAGTTTATTAGTGGAAAATAAGGGGGTTTCAGTTCACCAACAAGCCTACATGTAGATCCAAATAAATGTTAACTAGTTTTAAATCTTAAATCTCTGGCTGTTTTTCCCAGTTTAATGGCTCTTTTTATTTCAACAAATTGGTTTTACAAAGAAGAAATGAGAGAATCTGAATAATAGCTAACAATTATTTGAGCATTTTTGGGTAGTTTTGGCATTCTATCCGGCTTTTTACATGTATTGTCTCATTCCCGTTTTAAAGAAGAAAAAGACCTGAGGCACAAACAAAATGACCACATGGTATGTGGAACTGTCAGGATTCACAAGCCCAAGTGATCAGATAGCAGTTGAAGCTATTAAATTGGATAGGATTTTCATTTCCTTATCACCATTTATTTTGTTGTTAGCACCATATTTATAGTTCATTTTCTTATCAAATAAAGCAGTCACTTATCAAACGCCTAAGTGATATCCTCACCGTTTTTATTTTTTTAGCAGCTTTTATAATTGCCATTTTCTCTTCTGAGGCCATATTGTTGGATAGGTATCAAATTGTGTACTTGAAAAAGTATGAATGTGTTGTTTACAGTATTTGTGCATCAAATAATTATTTTCATTATATAGGTTAGAGTGATGAATGGATTTTTTATACCCATGTTTTAATTTTGAGTAGTATAGGCATTTCTTAAAGTTGCATCTTGTTTTAAGCAGTTTAAAGTGGCCATTTTCTTTCTTTTCTGAAAAATAATTTATAAGAACAAAATAATTATGGCTTCATAAGACCAGAGGGGGTAATTAAAGGACTGATTGCTAGTACATTTTTTATTTTTACCTCCTGTGATACCCTTGTAGGTACTCAGAAATGCTTAGATAATTAGGTTTCTGAATTCTTTTTCTAAGGTAATAAATCTTTAAAACATGTGAAGACTAAGAAAACAGATAAATAGCCTTATTAACTTGGAAAATCAAAGTTGGAATTTTTATGTTTCTTTTGTCATCACTTCTGTTATCTAAAATTAAAATTAATGAAAACTCAATACTATGTTAGACTGTTTTAAATTTGTAAAATCAGTGTCTTTTTTTTCTTTAACTTTCAGAAGTTGGGATATCTAAAGAGGAAGCTTTAGAAACTCTGCAAATTATAAGAAGAGAATGTCTCACAAATAAAACAAGCTATGTTGGTACAGCTGAGTCAGGCAAGAAGTGTACAGCACTGGAACTTCTTGAGCAGGAGCATACCCAGAACTTCATAATTACCTTCTGTTCAGCTCTAGATAATATTCTTGGGGGTGGAATACCCTTAACCAAAACAACAGAAATTTGTGGTGCACCAGGTGTTGGAAAAACACAATTATGGTAAAACAAAATGTTCCCCTCTTCAGGGTGGGCTTAATAACATTTTTTGTAAGTAACAGAGTATTACATTGTGAATCTACACTCAGTATGTGTTCTTAACTGTGTCTATGTGTGCAAAATAAAAATAAGTTTATTTGTGGTACTGCAGAACCCCACCTTGATAAAGCAATATAATTATTTTGATAATCAGATTTTGTTATACAACATTGTAATGCCATTGAGGTGAACATGCAGTCTCTGCTTTATTATAGAATTAATTTGAGCATGTATTTGAAAGTAAAATTTTTTTTTTTAAGAAACAATTTTCTTTCTTTTTTTTTTAAGATTTATTTATACAAGCACTGGGTACAGTCAGAAGCGCGGGAGGGTGAGGGAATTCACCGAGCCAGAGCGGGGAGCAGAACAGGCAGAAGGACCGAAGTACACTGCTGAGGGGAGCAGCAGGCGGCAGGAGAGGTCTGCGCGCCATGTGGGACCCTCCTCCGGTGGCCGGGGAGCAGCCGGGGATCGAACCAGTGTTGCAGAGGCTGCGGGCAGCTTCACAACCCAGTGCTCAACCGCTGCGCCACCGGGGAGGCCCAGTAAAATTTTTTTTTAAAGATGTATTTATTTATGCATACAGGAACTGGGGTACAGGTCAGAGGTGTGTGTGGGGGTGAGAGGATTCACCAGAGACAGAGTGGGGAACAGAACAGGCGAATTGACTAAAGTACACTGCTGAGGGGAGCAGTGAGCAAGCCAGGAGAGGTCTGTTGTGCAATGTGGGTTGCTCCTTGGTTGGCTGGGGATTGAACTCGTGCTGCAATGGCTGCGGACAGCTCCACAGGCTGTGTCTTAACCCCTTGCGCCACCAGGGAGGCCCTGAAAATAAAATGTTTAAAAGTAGATCTACTTATGATAAAAAGGATTTCATTCCCAGAAGCCTAAAAATCACTAAAAAGTCCTTAATCGTGGTTCTATGGGCATACCTTCTTCCTAACCCAGTGTATTCAGAGCCTTGGAGAGTATATTTGTATTTATAAAATATTTAGTAGTATCCAGTGGGTGGTGATCTAGAGTTTGAAAAACCCCGCTTTAGGTATTCATTATGATTTCTTAGTTTGACTTCTTTTTTTGACAGTATGCAGTTGGCAGTAGATGTACAGATACCAGAATGTTTTGGAGGAGTGGAAGGTGAAGCGGTTTTTATTGATACAGAGGGAAGTTTTATGGTTGAGAGAGTGGTAGACCTTGCTACTGCCTGCATTCAGCACCTTCATCTTATAGCAGGAACTCATAATGGAGAGGGTAAGTTAGCAAGTGATCCTCTTTGTTTTTGTATAACAAAAGTAATTTGCATTTGTATCCCTCTCAAACTTAGGCAAGGGACCATTGGAATGTGAACCTTAGTGACTTTATTGTGTACTAGGATTAAATCTCTTGCAAAATGAGAAATGTTAAATCCTGGACTAGCCTCTTTTTTCCACTTTTCGGCCCTCCCTTCTTACTGCAAGAGCTCTGAGGCAAAACCTGTGTATGTATTTCAATATATGACTTCAATTCATCATGCTCCTACCTGTCAGATGTAAACTAATGTTGGATACCTTACTGGAAGTAAATGTATTCAATACATTCAGTAGAGATTGACTTCCATATTGGATTTTCAAAAACCAAAAGTAGCTTTGAGAAACTATGTCTGGAAATGCTTGAAACTTTGTAATTGACTTCTTGATTGAGGTAATTGTATTAAAGTGTCTGGGAAATATTTTTTGCACTTGTTGTGTAGAAATAGTGTTTTTTTTTTTAAGATTTAATTTATGCATACAAGAATTAGGGTACAGGCCATAGGTATGGGGGGGGGTGAGAGGATTCACCAGAGACAGAGTGGGGAACTGAACAGGCAGATTGACTGAAATACACTGCTGAGGAGAGCAACGGGTGAGTCAGGAGAGGTCTGCTGTGCCATGTGGGTTAGCTCCCTGGCCAGGGATCGAACTCATGCTGCAGTGGCTGTGGATAGCTTCATAGGTTGCATCAACCCCTTGAGCCACCAGGGAGGCCCATGTTGGTTTTTTTATTTTTATTTTATTTTATTTTTTTAAAGATTTATTTATTTATTTATTTATTTTTTTATTTATACATACATACATACATACAAGCACTGGGTACAGTCAGAAGCGCGGAAGGGTGAGAGAATTCACCAGAGCCAGAGCAGGGAGCAGAGCAGGCAGAAGGACCGAAGCGCACTGCTGAGGGGAGCATCGGGCGGCAGGAGAGGTCTGTGCACCATGTGGGACCTTCCTCCGGTGGCCGGGGAGCAGCTGGGGATCGAACCGGCGATGCAGAGGCTGCAGGCAGCTTCGCAACCCAGCACTCAACCTCTGCGCCACCAGGGAGGCCCTTTTTGTATTTTCTTTAAATGAGTGTATTCAGCTGGGTATTTTTATTTTTGTGGGAGTGTTAGGTATCCTTTTTAACTTTTTTTTTTTTAAGATTTATTTATTTATATATACAAGAGCTGGGCTACAGGCCAGAGATGCTGGGGGTGAGAGGATTCACCAGAGACAGAGGGGGAAACAGAACAGGCAGATTGACCGAAGTACTCTGCTGAGGGGAGCAGCGGGCCAGACAGGAGAGGTCTGCTGCGCCATGTGGGACCCTCGCTGCCTGGCCGTGATCAAACCCGTGCTGCAGAGGCTGCGGACAGCTTCATAGTACAGCGCTCAACTGCCTGTGCCACCAGGGTGGCCCCCAATTACATTTTTAAATGCAATAATTTTTTTTACTGGCTGCTCTCTGAAATATATACAAGACCAAACTGACTATTTTAAAAAATTAATCCTAGGAGAGAATTTTATATGTTTTTTTCTTAAATAGTATTTAAGGGGAATAAATGCTTTTATTTTATTTTTTTTTTAAAGATTTATTTTATTTATACAAGAACTGGGATGCAGGCCAGAGGCGCGGGAGGGTGAGACAATTCACCAGAGACAGAGCAGGGAGCAGAACAGGCAGACGGACCGACGACACTGCTAAGGGGAGCAGCAGGCGAGGCAGGAGAGGTCTGCCACACCATGTGGGTATCTCCCTGGCCGGCCAGGAATCGAACCCATGCTGCAGAAGTTACGGACAGCTTCACAGCACGGTGCTCAATCTGCTGCGCCACAGGGAAGACCCAAATAAATGCTTCTTTTGATTATTACTTTTCTCTCTTATAGTCCTACAACAAAAACAAATTATGTTACTTCTATTTAATGGCAGTTACTATCTAGAAATATGAAAAAATAGAAATTAAAATTCTAGTTGCATATTTATCAACAATTTCTAGATAGCCAAATATATAAGAAGGTAGAAAGATAAAAGATCAGGAATTATGAAGTGATAGTTTGTTGTCATAATTTTACTATACTTTTTATCATTCAATTGAGTTATTCACAGTGAAGCATTTTGTTAAAAATACTGTTTTTTACAATCATCAACATAATAAAACAGGTTAAACTAATTATTTTAAAGTTGTTTGATTGTTTATTTCAGAGTACTCAAAAGCTTTGGAGGATTTCACTCTTGAAAATATTCTTTCCCACATTTATTGTTTTCGTTGTCGTGACTACACAGAGCTACTGGCACAAGTTTACCTCCTTCCAGACTTCCTTTCAGAACATTCAAAGGTATGACACAAACCACTGAAATATAACTAACCAATATCTTTGGCAGTATTAGCATGAAAAATGGGCAACATAGCCATTTCAGAAAGTCTCACTCTTAACTGTCCTGACTTATTTCTATTTATTTAACAAATATATTTATATAGTCACTCACACGTTCTCTCACTCTGTATTTATATTTTTTAATACCCATAGCAAGAATTAAAAGACTAGAGAAAGAGGTTCTGCCTCCAATAATGGTGGAATAGTTTCTATGAAGCAAATTCTATAGAAAGGTAAAATGAGGCGTTTCTTTGCCCCTCCCTGGCTGAGTTCCACCAGCCTGGGAGTCCCACTTTATTTCTGTCCCTTTTCTCCTCAATAAACTTTCTTTATCTAAAAAGAAAAAAAAAAAAAAGTAAAACAAAAAATAAAACTACCCTTTTGCTATTGCTTCTTAGCACCTGTCCCTAAAATTGATCACTATTAATAGTTTTTTCTGTCATCCCAGGTTTTTAATAGTTTTTTCTGTCATCCCAGGTTTTTATACATATTGCAATATCTGTTACTCTTGTAGTGAGGGCCACATCAGACTCTTCTAGGTTTATCCAAATGTCCATCCATATATCTCTATGTTCTTAAAATCTCGTGGGGTCTTTATTGATCCTTAGAAAAATATTTGCAGTAATTTTACTGCAACCTCAGTTTTTTCATATTTCCACAATTTGAATAAAGATGGTATATAGTTGTAAATTATAAGAAAATTGTAATTACTCCTTTTCCTTTTTGTTATTTTTTAAAGTTGATAAATTATCAAACCAAGAGGGCTTTTTAACTTTTGGTGATTACTGTAGAAAGCACTGGATGAGTGATTTATAACTCTAAAATAAAGCCTTTGGAGAATCGAAAATAAAGTACTGATATTATGTTTTTTTTTTTTTCCTGCAATGGACTGTATTTGGCAAAAATGCCAAAATTAAATGGTATTTTTGGATGCCATTTCCTTTGTTTTTAATACCAAAGCTAATATTATTTCTTCTGTGTTTAATTTAGGTTCGATTAGTGATAGTGGATGGCATTGCTTTTCCTTTTCGTCATGACCTAGATGACCTATCCCTTCGTACTCGATTACTAAATGGCTTAGCCCAGCAAATGATCAGCCTTGCAAATAATCACAGATTAGCTGTAAGTATGACTGGTCAAGAGATTTTTACAATAATGTTAGAATTATATAAAACATTAATGTCTACAAAATAGAATTTGCCTGACTTAAAGCAAATAATTCAGACATAAAGTTTTGAAGTTTGGTTTAGTTTCTATAAAAAATTAATTCTAGTCCTAATTCTTTTGTATCAGTTTTGTAAAATAACAAACATAATCAAGACACCATATTTTAAAAATGAACTTTGAAAAAAATGCTGCCTTTGGTAATTATAGTGGTTTTTTCTAAATAAAAGGGATGTTTTTCAGGCAAGCTCTTCCAACTACCCCTCTTTTATTTTTTTACTCTAAATCTTTTTTTTTTTTTTTTTTTTTTTTTTAGAGGCATGCATTTTCATTTATTTGTTTGTTTGTTTTTTGTTTATACATGCACTGGGTACAGTCAGAAGTGCGGGAGGGTGAGAGAATTCACCAGAGCCAGAGTGGGGAGCAGAGCAGGCAGAAGGACCGAAGTACACTGCTGAGGGGAGCAGCGGGCGGCAGGAGAGGTCTGCGCGCCATGTGGGACCCTCCTCCAGTGGCCGGGGAGCAGCCCGGGATCGAACTGGCGCCGGCGCCGCAGAGGCTGCGGGCAGCTTCGCAACCCAGCGCTCAACCGCTGCGCCACCGGGGAGGCCCTCTAAATCTTGATTATTACATAGTGTATAATCATAGATTCAGACAAATAGAAACATTGCTTTGTGTAAACAACCTATACATTTGGAGATAGAGCTAACTTCTAGTTTTGAAATGTGAAGAGCGAGGTAAAGATAATCTTAGATGTGAAGAGGTAGAAACGTCTTTTTGTTACTGCCTATTTGTCATCACTTCACATTCTTCAGTCCCATCCCACCATTGACAAATATACATATATGTTCTAGAAGGGCATTTGGAGGTCAAATTGTTTAGTTTGATTTTCTTGTCTTTCACCTGATTAGAGTTCTTATTACATACCCGTAATAGATCATAAATAAATAAAGAACCCTTCAATAAAATCATTTCAAGACTTAGCTCTTTTCTTCTGAATTTTTATGTCATATGCTGAAAGGTAGTGTTAACATTTTCTTAATATTAGCGAAGAGCTCCCAACAGGGGGCGCTCAAGACAAATGAATTGCAGAGTTTGGTTTTTTTGGTTTGTTTTTAATAGAACTAGCTTATTTTCTGATTAAAAAGAGTAAACAATAACGTGAACAGCACCCAGTATTTACGAAGAGTAACACATACTAATTTTTAACAAAATATATCCAGATAAAAGCATACTAAGTGTGATTCTGCTTTTGAGAAAAATTAAAATTGTCTGTACACTTACATTTATTTATTTATTTATTTATTTATCTATTTATTAAAGATTTATTTTTATTTATTTATTTATACAAGCACTGGGTACAGTCAGAAGCGCGGGAGGGTGAGAGAATTCACCAGAGCCAGAGTGGGGAGCAGAGCAGGCAGAAGGACCGAAGCACACTGCTGAGGGGAGCAGCGGGTGGCAGGAGAGGTCTGCGGGCCATGTGGGACCCTCCTCCCGTGGCCGGGGAGCAGCCGGGGATCGAACCGGCGCTGCAGAGGCTGCGGGCAGCTTCGCAACCTGGTGCTCAACCGCTGCACCACTGGGGAGGCCCTACACTTATATTTAATACATATATATGAAGGAAAATATCTGAGCAGCCCAAAACTTAAGAGTTGCCACTTCTGTGTTGCTGTTGAGTCTCATCAGCTCTTTGCAGATTTTTGTGATCAGTCCTTTATCAAGGAGTTGCCACTTCTAGAGATAGGATTTTGTGAGGTTGAGTACCTACTTTTCCCTCTTTATAAATTGCTTGATAATAAGTATGTAAAATCTTTGATAGTAAGTGCATTTTATAATTTTATTTATTTAAAATGCTTTTTATTTATTTATGCATACAAGAAATGGAGGGTAAGCCAGAGGTAAAGAGATGAGAGGATTCACCAGAGACAGAGTGAGGAGCAGAACAGGCAGATCTACTGAAATACACTGCTGAGGGGAGCAGCGGGCAAGACAGGAGAGGTGTGCTGTGCCATGTGGGTTAGCTCCCGGTCCAGGGATTGAACTCATGGCACAGTGGCTGGCAATAGCTTAATAGCACTGAGACTTTAATCCCTGTGCCACCAGGGAGTATTTCCCCCCCTCCATTTTATAATTTTGTTATATAGACCTTGTTGTAAAAACAGTTTGAATCAAAACAATCAAAAATCTAGAAAGTAAGCAATTATCTATATTACACAGAGATGATTTTGCTGAGCTTGGTGTATGTATTTTTCCAAGCTTATTCTGTGCATACACTGAGATCATATTATGCATGCTGTTATGTAAAGCAGTTTTATTTTTTTATTAAATATATTGTGAATATCTTACCTATATATGTTACTAATTAGTGTACTTTGCCTTAATAGATACATACAGTCTGCCATTGTGTGATTGCAGTATAGTATATAATCAGTGCTCCCTATTGATTATCTTTAAAACTGGCTTCAATTTTTTCATTAATGAACAAGTTTACATATGCATTTTTATTCATCTGTCCAGTTAATTCTGAAAATATTAAGGCAAAGGAATATCTCTTTTTAAACATTTTGATATATATTACCAAATTACCCTCAGAAACTTTCTTCCTCAGCTCTTTATATGAGAATTCTCATTTTCCCATATCTTTACCAGCCCAGTCTTTTATATTTGTGCCAAACTGATATGAAGAGAACTTGTAAAGATACATTTATTAGCAGAAAATTTTTTTTACCATTTTATTGATACGTATCTTTCTTTCAGTTTTAGGTTTAACTCTATAGTTTTTTTAAGTGCAATCAACCAGAAGGCAAGAATGAAGAGGAATAATTTTCCAACACTCCTTGTAAAGTCAAATATTAGATTTCTTCTTTGGAGAAGAATAGCCTCTTTACTGTTTATGAGATTTTCTGAGTGGCAAAAATTACAAATTTTTCTCCCATATTGCCCCTTTCAGTCTTCGTTGCCACAATCAGACAGAAAGAATGACACTTTTTTCTTGCACCTGTAGTGTAGATATACCCTTTTAAGGTATACAATTCCATGATGTTTAGCATACACTAAATTGTACAACTATCAAATTTTAGAACATTTCCATCACCCCAAAAAGAAATCCTTACCTATCACTCCCATTCTTCCCTCAGCCTCTAATAACTACTAGTCTGCTTTCTATATTTATGAATTTGTCTTTTCTGATTCTTTCATATAAATAGAATCATACAATATGTGGTCTTTTATGTCTGACTTCTTTCATTTAGCATAGTGTTTTCAAGATTTATACATGTTATACCATATATTAGTATAATTTTTATGTCTGAATAGTTTTGCATATGATCAGTATACCACATCTTGTTTATCTGTTGAAGAATATCTGATGGCAAAGGATTTTTAAAACAGTGAAGTTCATCATTTTAAAGTGATATTTTACTATTTTAAAGGTTCATTCTATGGAATAATCACAGAATTTTCTTTTTTTTTTTAAAGGTTTATTTATTTATGCATACAAGAACTGGGGTGTAAGCTAGAGGTGCAGGAGGTGAGAGGATTCACCAGAGACAGAGAGCAGAACAGACAGATGTACTGAAATACACTGCTGAGGGGAGCAGCGGGTGAGACAGGAGAAGTCTGCTGCTCCATGTGGGTTGATCCCTGGATGGCCGGGGATTGAATTTGTGCTATAGTGGCTGACGGTAGCTTGGTAGCACTGTTTTTAACCCCTGCGCCACCAGGGAGGCCTGTAATCACAGAATTTTCATTTGTATCATGGTAAACCCAACATTTTTTTTTTAAAGATTTATTTATTTATGCATACAAGAGCTGGGGTACAGACCAGAGGTGCGGGGGGTGAAAGGATTCACTAGTGACAGAGTGGGGAACAGAACAGGCATATTGACCTAAGTACACTGCTGAGGGGAGCAGCGGGCGGGTCAAGAGAGGTCTGCTGTGCCATATGGGCCACTCCCGGGCCGGCCAGGGATCGAACTTGCGCTGCAGAGGCTGTGGAGAGCCTCATAGGTTGCGTCTTAACCCCTTATGCTACCAGGGAGGCCCCAAACGCAACATTTTTACAGAAGTGGTGTATTTATTTTATAAATATTTGCTAACAGTGCAAATTCTAATTTGGGGATGTTGAACAGCTGGTAAACCAGTATGTCTATTTACATTTTCCTCAAAATATGTAATGGAAAAACTACTTTCTAAAGCAGTGCTGTCTGATGGCACTTTCTTCAAAGACAAAAATTCTCAGTCTAATACAGTAGTTGCGTAGCTATTGAAATATGGCTAATGTTACTGAGGAACTGAATTTCTAGTTTTTATTAGTTTAACTTTAAAAAGCTATATGTGGCCAATAACTACAGAATTGGACAATGAGCCTCTGTCCAAAAATGCTAATGTGTAAAAAATACTTGATTAAGTAAATATCCTAGTTGGGAGGGTTTAAAGACTTGGTAGTAGTTAGTCATATATATAAGTCAATTGCCAACTTAAATTCCTGCTTAGGGTCTCCCTGGTGTTGCAAAGGATTAAGACGCAACCTATGGAGCTGTTCTCAGCTGCTGCAGCATGAGTTCGTTCCCCAGCCAGGGAGCTACCCACATGGTGCAGCAGACCTCTCATTGTTCACCCACTGCTCCCCTCAGCAGTGTATTTCAGTCAGTCCACCTGTTCTGTTCCCCACTCTATTTCTGGTGAACCCTTTTTACCCCCCACATCTCTGGCCCGTACCCCAGTTCTTATATGCATAAATAAATAAATCTTTAAAATAAAAATCCTGCTTAGCTTGTTTTATGATGACTGGTAAAGTAATACTTGGGAAACAGAGGGGAGAGGAACTAGAAAGTCATGTCACCCACTTGGTACCTAAATGAGACCTAGGTGAATCACAGGCTTATCTTTTCTAGATAAGCAAATATTTTAAGGTTTTACCACAGTAATAGGAATAGCCAGACTTTTTTTTTTAATTTATTTATTTTTGCATACAAGAAATGGGGTACAGGCCAGAGGTGGGGGGGTATGTATGAGAGGATTCACCAGAGACAGTGGGGAACAGAACAAACAGATGTACTGAAATACACTGCTGAGGGGAGCAGCAAGCAGGACAGGAGAGGTCTGCTGCGTCATGTGGGTAGCTCCCTGGCCAGAGGGCTGGCTGGCTGGCTGAGGATGAAACTCGAGTTGCTTTCCCTGGTGATAGCTTGATAGCCCTGTGTCTTTAACCCTTGTGCCACCAGGGAGGCCCTCTACATTAAAATTATTGTCTTTCAAAACATGGAAACTTTTCTACGGACCACTGTGTAATACAAAATAATTGTTATTCTTGAAAGCCATGTGTGACTAAAGCACCAGCGGTAATTATTACCAGCAGAGCCATGATTTGAGGCCATTTGTCCTTATAACTAAGTGGGTTTTATTTTTGTTCTACTTATACTTTCTTTATCATTTTTAGGTCTTCTCATTTTTTGTCTGTTTCTTTTTCTTTCTGTGAAATTATAAATAGTAGTACTGTATTTGTCTCATCCATGAAAATGTAATCTTTGAGTTTATTTATTAAGGATTTTATGTCCCTTTGTATAAATATTCTAGATTGTCAGTAGTGGTAAAGAACACATGTTCAGGGGGCCTCCTTAGTGGCACAAGGGGTTAAGCACCTGCACTTTGAACAGTCCATAGCTACTGCAGCACCAATTTGATCCCAGGCCAGGGAGGTGACCCACATGGTGAAGCAGACCTCTCCTGTCTCACCCGCTGCTCCCCTCAGCAGTGTTTTTAGTCAATCTGCCTTTTCTGCTCCCCACTCTGTCTCTGGTGAATCCTCTCACCCTCCCTCCCCCACACCTCTGGCCTATACCCCAGCTCTTGTATGCATAAATAAATAAATCTTTAAAAAATAAAAAAAACAACACATGTTCAATCTTTTCTAAGCTTCTGATTTCTGATGTGTTAAACTATAATAATAATAGCAATACCTCATAGAGTAGCTGTGAAGATTACATAAGATAATGAAAGTTAACGCATTTAGTATAATTTCTGACATGTATTAGTACTCAGTAAATTTTTGTCATCACTACTGATGTTGCTACTATCATCCTTATGGCTTGTACAAAACTTAAAACTTGTAGAAATCTTGACTTATACAAAACTTAAATTTTTAAAGTGAGGTTTTTTCCTAGTGTTTCCAGTTATGAGGTTTTTATGCATGTTGTCTTTATACCTGTAGATATTATCTGTTACATTTTTATTCTGCCATTTCTACAATAAGAACATCTTTGCCCTTGTCTGAATGTCTGAATCACATACAGTGTTGTAAAGCAATGTTACATCAATAAAACTAAAAAAAAAAAGTTTAATGTTCAGTAGAATCATGTTTTCATATAAGTACTCATTGGCTTTTTTTTTTAATGAGAAAATTTTTCATTATTTAAATATGTTTTTCTTGGGACCTCCCTGATGGCACAGGGGTTAAAGTCTCAGTGCTATCAAGCTGTCACCAGCCACTACTACGTGAATTTGATCCCTGGCTAGGGAGCTAACCCACATGGTGTAGCAGACCTCGCCTGTCTTGCCCACTGCTCCCTCAGCAGTATATTTCAGTAGATCTGCCTATTCTGCTTCTCACTCTGACTCTGGTGAATCCTCAAGCCCCCACCCCTAGCAACTCTGGCTTACATCCCAGTTTTTATATACATACGTAAATAAAAATAATTAAAATATATATAGGTCTTTCTTTTAATTAGATTATTCACAGAACTAAAATAACAGACCTATTTACCTGATAATGTGGGGGTAAGACACGCCTGTTTTTCTCACATTTTGTTTTTGTAGGTAATTTTAACCAATCAGATGACAACAAAGATTGATAGAAATCAGGCCTTGCTGGTTCCTGCATTGGGTAGGTAATTAATTAGATAAATATGTTTAAACACAATTTTTCAGCCTCTTTCATATGATGCTTGTTAAGTATTATAATCTACATGAAATCTAGCATGGAGCACAGTGCCCTTAGATACTGGCCCATCCTTTCAGTTTTTTAGCAAACATTTGTTCAGTATATAATATCTGGCAGCTATCATATCAGGTAGTGAGCATATGAATGTTGATAAGATGACTGTTCCCCTCAGGAAGCTTTCAGCTATAGGCAGGAGGAATGGTGAATCATTTAAATACAAATTGTGTTACAGTGATTACCGATTTTTCCTAATCTCAGTCATGGTTTTATTAGAATACTACTCCTGAAGATTTGTTTCTACTAAAATCTTTAAGAATGTTGTTACAGGAGGGCCTCCCCGGTGGCGCAGCGGTTGAGTGCTGGGTTGCGAAGCTGCGCGCGGCCTCTGCGGCGCCGGTTCGATCCCCGGCTGCTCCCCGGCCACCGGAGGAGGGTCCCACATGGCGCGCAGACCTCTCCTGCCGCCCGCTGCTCCCCTCAGCAGTGTACTTCGGTCCTTCTGCCTGCTCTGCTCCCCGCTCTGGCTCTGGTGGATTCTCTCACCCTCCCGCGCTTCTGACTGTACCCAGTGCATGTATAAACAAAACAAACCAACCAACCAGCAAACAAATAAAGCATGCCTCTATAAAAAAAAAAAAAAAAAAAAAAAAAGAATGTTGTTACAGGAAAGGCCATGTGAAGACATAGGGAGAAGGTAGCCATTTATTAGCAAAGGAGAGAGGTCTCATGAGTACCACCCTACTGACATACTGATCTTAGACTTCCAACCTCCAGTAGAAGTCACTGGGTTGAGAATAGACTGTTTTAAGTAGAGACTCACTTAAAATATTAAATCGTAATACAGACAACACTACTGGCAATGTCTTAAATCAATGAATAATGTATACATGTACAATGTAATATTTTTTGGCCTTAAAAAGAGAGAAGTCCTACTCTGGAGGACATCATACTAAGTGAAATAAGCCAATCCTAAAAGAACAAATACTGCATGATTTGCCTGAGGAATCTGAGATAGTCAAACTCATAGAAATAGAGTTGATAGTGGCTGGGGGCATGGGTATAAGGAAACAGTTGCTTTTCAACAGGTATAATGTAAGTTGTAGAGATTTATAAACATTGTGTCTACAGTTAACACTGTATTACACACTTAAAACTTTGTTGTAAGATAGATATAATAAAAAGTTGCTCTAAACTGCTAAAAAAAAAATTAAAGTAAATTAGTACAGTTAAAACTGTTTGGTCAGTGGGCCTCCCGGGCCACCAGAGGAGGGTCCCACATGGCGAGGAGGGTCCCACATGGCGCGCAGACCTCTCCTGCATGGCGAGGAGGGTCCCACATGGCGCACAGACCTCTCCTGCCGCCCGCTGGTCCCCTCAGCAGTGTACTTTGATCCTTCTGCCTGCTCTGCTCCCCGCTCTGGCTCTGGTGAATTCTCTCACCCTCCTGCGCTTCTGACTATGCTTGTATAAATAAATTATACAGTGCTTGTATAAATAAATAAAAATAAATCTTTAAAAAAAAAACTGTTGGGCCTCCCCGGTGGCGCAGCGGTTGAGCGCTCGGTTGCGAAGCTGCCCGCGGCCTCTGCGGCGCCGGTTCGATCCCCAGCTGCTCCCCGGCCACCAGAGGAGGGTCCCGCATGGCGCGCAGACCTCTCCTGCCGCCCGCTGCTCCCCTCAGCAGTGTACTTCGGTCCTTCTGCCTGCTCTGCTCCCCACCCTGGCTCTGGTGAATTCTCTCACCCTCCCGCGCTTCTGACTGTACCCAGTGCATGTATAAACAAAACAAACAAACAAATAAATAAATAAAAAAAAAAACATGCCTCTAAAAAAAAAAAAAATAAATAAAAAATAAAAAAAAAACTGTTTGGTCAGGGCCTCACTGGTGGTGCAGGGGTTAAAGTCTCAGCGCTATCAAGCTATCACCTGGTGCAGCAGACCTCTCGGGTCTCACCTACTGCTCCCCTCAGCAGTATATTTCAGTAGATTCGCTTGTTCTGCTCCCCACTCTATCTCTGGTGAATCCTCTCACCCTGCACTGCACACCTCTGGCCTACACCCCAGTTCTTTGCAAAAATAAATAAATAAATCTTTAAAAAAAAAAAGACTGTTTGGTCAGAGGTGTTCTGAGAGACTTACAGCCTAATCATTGTGGCAATTTAGTTATTTTATGTTCTTTTTCCCTTAGGGGAAAGTTGGGGACATGCTGCTACAATACGGTTAATCTTTCATTGGGACCAAAAACAAAGGTCAGTATAGAATCCAGTTAATAATTCTGAATATTAAGTTAATTATACTGAACACTTAACAGATTCTTAGAGCGAGTCCAGTGGATGAGATTTACAGTGCCCCATGAACTAAAGTTTTTGTGGCCTTGTGCTTTATCATAGAGCAAACATAGAAATATGTTATTATGCTGCATTTAAGTACCTAGGAAATCCTTTGAAATATTTAAATGATGGGGTGCACCTGAAATGAGTGGGTGGCCAAGGAATGCTCCCTTGTAAAGCTCTTTGAAATCAAGTACCATTTATTAGCCATGTGGAAGGAGGTAAGTACACTGTGTTCCTGGTAAGGATTGAAAGAAGAATAAAATCATGACAAAAAAACTTTTGAGGTTAATTTTAAGAACTTATTTATATGGAAAATAGGATGGATTGCCTAATATAGTTCTTGTATGAAATTGTATCTATTTTTGTTTTCTTTTGTATTTTCCTACCCTACTTTTGTTATCCATTAACATATCTGCCTTTCACAAGTACTGTTCTTTAAAATAAAACTATGGCAGCATGAAACCTGTGTATTTGTTTTTAAAGCTGCTGAGCAAGTGAACAAACCAGCTTTCATTTTCTTTAAAATAGGCAATTAAAAACTGTGAAGTATTTTATTGTGCATTTCTAGAAATGTCAGGTTTATGCCAGCCTCTCTGCTTTGAGATTAATTGGTATAAACCTAGAGAACTTCATTGGAATGAACTAATAAAAGGGAAATTGAGACAGCGTGTTGGTGAAGATGGAAAAAAAGATGGCTTAAAGACATTGTGTATCTGGTCAGTGATAGTGTCTATTCCCTTATCTGTATTTCTTTGATCTACAAACTGAAAAAATTATTCCTGACCCAGTTGGCTATGACTCTAAGCTCATAGCAGAACTGATTGTACTTACATACATCTTTTGCAAATCATTCATGTGGTTTGTGCCTTATTTAAAAATGGCATTTCCAAAGAGCTCAGGTAACTAATTTTTTCCCTCATAACACATAGTGTTTTGTAATTGACTTTCAAGTTCTTTTTTTTTTTTTTTCCCCCACAGCAATTTATTCTTTTAATTGAGGTAACATTAGGATCTTTCCCATCAGGTATTGCCACCAAAGCACACCTACCACTAAAGCACCCATAGTCCCCCACCATGGTGCATTGTACTTCCTTTCCTCTTTGTTCTTACCTCTCTCCCACCCCCATCTTCAAATTCTTAAGTAATTATATGCATAAAAAGAATTCTTTTCTTAGCAACAAACTCTATTGTGAAGATTTGGCTTTAGTTCTCTAAACGAAAATCTTTTGAACATATTGCTTATACTTTCCTAGATTTAGGTTTGTGTAAAGTGCAGCCCACTCTTTAAATGTTCTTAGGAATTCCCCTTGAGTTAGTATTCTGTAATAGTCTTCTCCAGACTTTTATTAACATACTCACTAATAGAATACATCCATGAAATAGCAAAAATAATAGAAGAGCAAGATATTTCATTTTTATAATGCTCTCATCAAAAGGAGAAATTTGCTGCCTTTGTCAAATTCTGGAAGTTAGCATTGGTTCGGTACCCATGAGATAAAAAATTATGCTTCCTTTTCTTTTTAATTGATAGAGTATTGGTTTATAACATTACATGCTTGCTTGTGAAGAGTAACAATTTTATGACCTCAGCTTCTTAATAGTCCTTCCAAAGGAATTAAGAGAAAGATATAGATCACTAACAATTAACAGATATATATGTGTATATATATATATATATATATTTAAAGATTTATTTATGCATGCAAGTACTGGGGTGTAGGCCAGAGGTGCCAGGGGTGAGAGGATTCACCAGAGATAGAGTGGGAACAGAACAGGAGGCTCTACTGAAATACACTGCTGAGGGGAATAGTAGGTGAGACAGGAGAGGTCTGCTGGGCCATATGGGTCTGTTCCCTGACCAGGGATCAACTCATGCTGCAGTGGCTGGTGATAACTTGATAGCGAGACTTCAACCTCTGTACCACCAGATATGCCCCCATACTATCATTTGAAAGAGCAGTTGATTGTGCTAGGTATTTAACTAGGCATTGTATTTCATATAATTCTTTCATATAACTTCATTTAATTTTTTAATAACTGAAAAATTTATACTGATTATCATTAGCAGTGAGAAAATCAAGACTCAGATATATTATGTAGTAAATGATAGCTACCATTTATTGAATGTTAACTGTCCTTAATTCTGCTAAGCACTCAATGGCACCATTTTACTTTCAGTTTCAATGAATTCTCAGCATCTCACGTAAGTGGAATCATACAATATATATTGTTTTAGTTTCTAGATAGCTATGAAATAGGTAGTAGTATCTACATTTTATAGCAAACTTTATATTGAGTCATTCCTTTTTTCCTACTGCATTCCTGGAATGTAATTATAGCATTTCATTAATTATAAATTTGAAGATATAGCTCTTATTAGGTAAAATTCTTTTCTCCAAACTATTTTTTTCTAGGTAGTGGAAATATCATAAGTAATATACATACATTATTATTGTTAGAAAAAGTTGAACTCATTTAATAGATTTAAAATAGTTTTGTTTTCATTGTTTGAAACCAGCTATCTTTAGGTTGTTAATCTTGCATGAAATATTACATATTAAAATTTACTTTATCTTGAAAGGATGGAAATAGAAATTCACACTGGGAAAAGAGAGGTATAAACATTTATACTTAACAGTTTGAGCAGAGAACAAAAACCTTTATGAGACAAATTTATATTGAAAATTCAACTTAAGTATCCTGTCTCATGCTCCACTCCTCATTCTTTAACAGAAACACCTGATTTTTACCTTCTGCCTAATCATGGGATAATATCTCAACAGTTACTAAAAGTAATACTTTGGTCTCCTATATATTGTGTGGGTTTCCCTCCAATTAGCATATTCATGATATTATGAAGCTGAGATTCTTCAGAATTATGCCATTCTGTGCCAAGAAGATCTGGTGGTAGAGTGGAGTAATACATCAACACCCCCACACAGTGTTTCATATGTGTGCTAAGCTTTAGAGCACAAATTGTGCTTCTGTCTTGTTTCTTCCTGACCCAAACTATGTAGTTCAGCCATATGTTTTAAGCTTCATCTCAGCTGGGGCCAAGAGCCAAATGATTCTTTGGTTTAGTTTGGTGTTTAAAAAGATCAAGATGTAAGATGTTGATCTAAGATATAGATGAAAAAAATTTTATTTTTACCTAAAAATTTGAGGAAGATTTTCAACCTGAATACTTCATGTCCATTTGACTTTGAATTTTTTTTTTTTAAGATTTTATTTATTTATTTATACAAGTACTGGGTACAGTCAGAAGCCCGGGAGGGTGAGAGAATTCACCAGAGTCAGAGTGGAGAACAGAGCAGGCAGACTGACAAGTACACTGCTGAGGCGGGGGAGCGGCGGCTGGAGAGGTCTGCGCGCCTTGTGGGACCCTCACCCGGTGGCGCTGCAGGGGCTGCGGGCAGCTTCGCAACCCAGAGCGCAACCGCTGCGCCACTGGGGAGGCTGAAATACACAGCTGAGGGGAGCAGCCAGTGAGTCAGGAGAGGTCTGCTGCGCCATGTGGGTTGCTCCCTGGCCAGCCAGGGATCAAATTCATACTGCAGAGGCTGCGGATTGCTTCATAGTGCTGTGCTTAACCCCTTGCACCACCACGGAGACCCCTGACTTTGAATTCTTAGTAAACATGTAAATGCTTCTTTGAAGCTTTTTTTTTTTTTAAATAATTTTCTCAGGAAAGTCAGATACACTGGGAACCTTTTTGAACATACGGTGATATAGGTGATTTATATACTAATTTTTCAGAAGGTTAGGTAATTTTTGTTTTATTGAGTCAAAAAATGATTTTTTTAAGTAAGGGAGGTTAAAATATACCATTCCTCTGTTTTTCTGTTTATTTTAACATTAAGGTAGAATATCAACCCCAAAGTATTTTAAAAATATATGGTCTCACCCCCTTCTTACATTACATATTAGTTATTTTATTTATGATGTAGTTGCAATTATAGAGTATATGACATTTTAACCCTGAAAAGTACAAACTTAAAACATTAAGCTAATGAACCATGGTCTTTGCTTTTCTTTTGAATTGTTCTTAAGTAAAGGGCAAATTTCAAAATTAAGAGAGTAGGGCCTCCGCAGTGGCGCAGCGGTTGAGCGCTGGGTTGCGAAGCTGCCCGAAGGCCCTGCCGCACCGGTTCGATCCCTGGCTGCTCCCCGGCCACGGGAGGAGGGTCCCACATGGCGGGCAGACCTCTCCTGCCACCTGCTGCTCCCCTCTGCAGTGTACTTCGGTCTTTCTGCCTGCTCTGCTCTCCCCTCTGGCTCTGGTGAATTCTCTCACCCTCCTGCGCTTCTGACTGTACCCAGTGCTTGTATAAATAAATAAATAAATCTTTAAAAAAAAAAAAATTAAAAGAGTAATGGATCATAAAGTAAGATGTCCCTTTTGAATTGTCTTTGAAAGCAAGACAATGTTAATTATATGTAAATACGTGACCCTTTTCCTTTTAACTCATGTAACCCTTTAAGTTAGAATCTGTTTTATCAGTATTTTTTTAGTTGTGGTAAAGTACACATAACATAAAATTTACCATTTCAGTCATTTAACCATATAATTCAGTGAAGAATTCAGTGAAGAATTTTCACATTATAGTGCAATCATCAACATCACCCACCTCCAAAATTTTTTCACCTTCCAAACTGAAACTCCATGTCCATTAAATAGTAACTCTTCATTCTCAATTCCCACTGTCCTCTGGCAACCATTCTACCTTCTGTTTCAGTGCATTCTAGGCACCTCATATAAGTCAAATCATAATGTCTTCAAGGTTGATTGTGGCATGTGTCAGAATTTCTTTCCTTTTTAAGATTCACTAATTTTCTATCATATGTATATACCACATTTTGTTCACCATTCATCATTGGGTTACCTTTTGGCTATTGTGAATAAGTTATAGTAGTTTGAAAGGGCACTTTATTTTTTTTTAATTTTTAAAAAAGATTTATTTATACACACAAGAACTGGGGTACAGGCCAGAGGTGTGGGGGGTGAGAGGATTCACCAGAGACAGAGTGAGAAACAGAACAGGCAGATTGACTGAAATACACTGCTGAGGGAAGCAGTGGGCGAGTCAGGAGAGGTCTGCTATACCATGTGGGTAGTTCCCTGGCCGGGGATCGAACTTGTGCTTCAGTGGCTGTGGCCAGCTTCATAGGTTGCGTCTTAACCCCTTGCGCCAGGGAGGCATTGAAAGAGCATTTTAAAAGTTTCTGTTTATATTGTTGCTATTACACTATTTGAACATAGTTTATGAGCTTAGAATTTTGTTTCTCAACTACTTCAGCTTTTAGTTTTATATTACTTGCTTTGTAGTGTACATAAAGATATCTCCCTTAAACAGAGTTTATTCTGTCTTGACAGTGATTTTTCTGAACATAATTTTTTGTTGTGGACATACAATCACTTTGAAAGAATGTGTGTTCCAAGCTTATTTGTATTCCTATAACAGGAGTGTGTGTTCCTTAATTTTATTCCAGGGAATTATCTTAATACTTATACTGTAACACAAAAAACACATAGTTGTTGCAGAACATTTGAAAAATATAAACAAAAAAACAGCCTTTACTTTGTAATAACTTGATTGCAGTCTTCTAGTAATGTTTCTCTATATGTGTATAGGTATACTTTTAAATGTGGGATCTAACTTTTGCTTAATGTATTATTATTTTCCTATTATGAAATATTTCCTTGTACTTAATTTTCTCAAGTATAATGTTATGCATAAAATAATTTACTGGAAGCAGTCATTGGACTTTTTTTTTTCTTACACTGTTGTTCATTTTTGTACAATATTTAATTTCTCCCCTCGAGTATACTCCCCATAGTTCTCCACCACCATAGCACCTGTGGCCCATCACCATAGCCCCTTGAGCTCTTCCCTCCCCTGTTTTGACTCCTTTCTTTTCCCCTGTCCTGCTGTATGCCTCAGATTTATGGTCAGTTTGCAAGTTTTGTCTTTTTCCTCCCCCTTTGTTTGGTTTCTCTATATTCCACCTATAAGTTGAGCCATCGATGTTTCTCTTTTTCCTTCTGAGTCATTGGACTTCTAGGTTGCTTTAAAATTTTACCTACATAGGGGTACTGGTGGCGCAAGTTGTTAAGTCTCAGCACTATCAAGCTATCCGTAGCCACTGCAGCATGAGTTCCCAGCTAGGGAGCTAACCCACATGGCACAGAGACCTCTTCTGTCTTGCCTTCTGCTCCCCTCAGCAGTATATTTCAGTCAGTCCACCTGTTCTGCCCCCCACACTCACTCTCTGGTGAATCACCCTCCACGCCTCTGGCCTATACCCCAGCTCTTGTATGCATAAATAAATAAAATAAATCCTAAAAACTACTCCTCTGAACTAATTAAGACTATGTATACTTCTTTTTTTCTCTAAACAGATTGGCGACATTGTACAAATCACCAAGTCAGAAGGAATCTACAATACTGTTTCAAATCACAGTCAGTATTATTTGAGTAGAGTGGGATTTTGGTGTTTGTGGACAGTAATTATCTGAAGAGAGCATTTACAAATTGCTTCTGTTAACTTCCGTAGGCAGCAAGCATATTTGAGGACAGCTTTTGATACTTAGAACATTATCCCCAGAATAGAACTATATATACAGAATACTCTAGTCACAATTGGACTGAAATTTATTCTTAAGAACAGAGGAAATATTTGTAGGATATTGCATTCCATATGTAGGGTATTGCATTGCCATATGTAATGTCAGGACATTAAGGAATTTTAAAGTGAAAGTTGTTACAGATTTTAAGAAAAGAAAAAATGCAGACATCTTTTTGTTCTGTAGATACATAGATCTATCATAGCCACCAAATACATCTCTCTTTAAAAAGTTAATCTTCCTGTAATTTTACATCATAAAACACACATGTTTGGCTGAAATATGTGTCTTTATCAATAGTGTTAAATCAAATATACCGGCATCTAATTTTTTAAGGATAAAAATAGAAATAGAGATTCTGAAGCTAAATTATCCAGTTAAGTCTTTGTACTATGCAGGTGCATTTAAGTCAGTCCAGTTTTCCTAATTAGAAAACCTTACTCTAAAGGATTTAATTTTGAAAATAAATTTGTAATTTTATTACAAATATTCCTTGCCCTTCTTCCAACGGACCTACTGTAAAGATTGTTAGGATTATCTCTTAGAGAACATTTTTTTATGATGCAATGCTATTTCTCTGTGTGTTTGTATATTTATAAATAAATATATATGTAAAACACTCTAGATATAAAATACAACTCTGACATGGATACCTATCCACGAGGTTTATCCTCTTCATTTACAGTGGTTGATAACTTCTGTCAGTAGGATATCAGAAGAATGAAGTAACTGATCCATTACTTAAATGTATTTGAAAGACCAATTGTTTTATTAGGTGTTTTAAAGCATACTTATGTATTTTTTCATCTTGCAGCCTCAGGGATTTAGAGATGCTGCTGTTGCTACTACATGTTCATTGAAAACACAAGGTTCGTTGACTTCCCGGAAGCGGTCACGAGACTCAGAAGAACAAGAACCCAAAGACTAGTGTCAAAGTACACATATATGATGAGACTGTGAGTTGTAATGTATACATGTAGTAGATGCATTACTTAAAATATAAACACACAGTTTGGCATAAATGAATCTGACTAGATAAAGTGATAGGGAAAAATACTTAATATGATTCTGAGGAAAAAATTTTCTAAAGCAGTGTTCTACAGTTATGTTTTGCCATGTTTTCATTTCAGTAGCATCCAGTAGAGATAGACATAGGTATTGTGTTATGCAACTCTGGAAACCTTGACCTCATGTGACCAATCTGAATTTACCATTCAGACTGTCTTTTCTTCCTTTCTTTGCTAGTTACTTAAGAAATCCTAGGAGGACAGATTTTTTTTTCACATTCCTATTGTTTTCTCTTTACTTACAGATTTGATAATTTTTTTTTTAAAGATTTATTTATACATACAAGAACTGGAGTACAGGACAGAGGAGCGGGGGCGGAGAGGAGGTGAGAGGATTCGCCAGAGACAGAGTGGGGAGCAGAGCAGGCGGATTGACTGAAATACACTGCTGAGGGGAGCAGTGAGCGAGACAGGAGAGGTCTGTTGTGCCATGTGTGTTATCTCCCTGGCCGGGGATCGAACTCATGCTGCAGTATTTGTGGATAGCTTCATAGTGCTGATGCCTAACCCCTTACAAAGAAAAGCACCATGAAGCAGCATATCATTATATTCAGTTTTATGAAAGGGTTAAAAATTCTGTATGACCAATCCTAATATCTAAGTTACTTAACTTTTTTTTTGTGTTATTTTGTTTATTCTATAATATAAAGGAAGGACTTTGGAGCTGTTATCCCATTTAGAAATTGTCTGGAACTTAGATCTTCCAGAATATTCAGTTTGATAAGCTCACAATAACTTATTTCTACTTTTTTGACATATGGTGTGAACTATTCTAGAATTCTAGGTATAGTAACATTTTTCTTTGAATAATTTTAATACTTCACATACAAATTAAGCATCTAGAGTCTTTTTTTTTTTTTAATTTAAATCCCTCACTGTGAATCTCCATGGGATGGGGTATCTCCTTTGGCAAGAACTTATCTCTGTCTTACCTTCCCACCTTGGTCTTTTATCTTCTGTTGTGGGATCTCTATTTGTCTGGTTTTTGAGTCAAAAATTTGGATTCTTGAGTGATTCAAAATCATCTAAAAATTTTTTGGCACCTGGCTCTTAGTTCTTCTCAATTCATTCAGAAAATTTACTTTGGTTTCCAGTGGAAGAAATTTTTTAAATAACTGAATATTATATGCCGTGACAACCATTTATCCAGATTTTATGTATAGTTAGTATTTCTGTCCTAGACGCAACTCTAAATTTATAAAAATTTAAAGATATAATTATTCTGTAATTGATTATACATAGAATAACGTTAGTTTACCAGAATTTTTTTGAGATTGAAAGCGGGCACTGCAAACAGTTTATACCAAGACAGTACACATACCACAAATGTTTCAGACAAATTAGGCATGTGGTCATCCTAATTATATAAGACTAATTTCAAATAACTACTTTAGTGTAGGATGACTGACTGTAACTGTCTTATTTTTAAGGACTTTTAGGCATATATTTTTATTATAATTAATGCAGTTATTATAAAGAATTAGCCATAATTTTCTAGTCCTCTCTTCTAATCATAACATTGAGAGCGAGGGAGTTATAAGTGATAAATTATCAGTATTACCAGCCATCAGATCTTAGGATGTCATTCTATAAAAGATAACATTCTGCTTTAAAGAACTGTAAGACCATGAATATAGACGAAATCAAGTGTATTTCTTTTGATTACAACTCTTTTTAAATAAATTTTTTAAAAATTTATTTATTTATGCATACAAGAGCTGGGGTACAGGCCAGAGGTGTAGGGGGTGAGAGAATTTACCAGAGACAGAGTGGAGAACAGAACAGGCAGATTGACCAAAGTACACTGCTGAGGGGAGCAGCGAGCGAGTCAGGAGAGGTCTGCTGCACCATGTGGGTTGCTCCTTGGTGGGCCGGGGATCGAACTTGTGCTGCAGAGGCTGCGGATTGCTTCATAGGTTGCGTTTTAATCCCTTTTACCACCAAAGAGGCCCCTAAATAAAATTTTAATAACATAGCCTTTCAAAGTTGTTGCTGCTGTTCAAGAGGTGTTTGTTTTTTTGGTTGCAACATGCATTTATATTGTAGTGGGCTTGGACTGCCATAACAAAATACCACAGACTTAAATTGCAGAATTTTTTTCGTGTACTGAAGAGGGTTGTACAGACATGATCTAGTTTTGGTGAGGATTTTCTTTCTGGCTTGCAGATGACTGCCTTTTGTGCTGTGTGTTCACAAAGGTTTTCCTTGGTACTTGGACATGATAGAGAGATCGCTCTTCCTTTTTTTTTTTTTTTTTTTAATTGTAATGACCTTGGTTTACATGCTTGTGTTTTAGAAGTATAGTATCTCACACATAGCATCCACCACCAAAACACTACCACAGTAGTCCGTTGTGCTTTCTCTCCATTTGTTCTCTCTCTTCATTTTCTTATAAAACCACCAATCCTAACATGACCACCAATGTCATGTTAGGAATCCACCCTTATGTGACCTTATTTAACCTTAGTTACCTCCTAAGAGCTCTATTTCCAAATACTGCTCACATTGGAGGTTAGGACTTCAACATGTGAATTTTGATGAGGATGCAGTTCACTCCTCCTGAAGCCCCCCCAAATTCATGCAAAATACATTCACTCCATCCTAACAATTACAAAAATCTTAACTCATTCCAGCATTCCAGCATTACTCTTAAATTCCAAAGTCAAAATTAAATATACTATAAATCAGTTAAATGTGAAACTCAATGTATAATTCTTACTGAGGTAGAATTTCTCTCCATCTGTGAACTTGTAAGACCAGGCAAGTTAGTTATTTCCAAAGTACCAATTATGGAACAAACATAAGATAGACATTCCCATACTTATAGGGAGAAGTCGAAGGAAATCCAAATAAGTCTAAAACTTAGCAAGGCAAATTCTATTATAATAGAAGACTAGATAGTAATCTTCATTCATTCTTTACTCTGCCTTTCAGGCTCACTGGTCGCAGCATCACGCCCACAATTGTAGCTCTAGGATTTTACGTCTGAGGCTCTTACCAAGAGTTTTTGCCCTCCTGATTTCTGGTAGAGTCCATCTGGCCTGTTCAAACTGAGGCAATAGCCCTAAATGACCTGTGAATCTCCTTCAGAGTAATCTTTCCCTTTTGAAGAATAGTGCGTGTTTACAGTCAAATTATCTAGTCCTGTGAAATCCAAGATGTCTGACAGCCTTTCTTCATTTTGTGCCATCTCTGACACCTTCAGTTCAAATTATTTCTGCTCATATAATCCCCATAAACTATGGAATAATTGTCCAGTCATATCCTTGATGGTCTCTTTAGAACTTGCTAAATTTTTGCAATATGATTAAGCTGAGAATTTTCCAAATCTTTTGGGTTCCTTTTTACTCAACAATTCCTTTCATTCATATCTCTCCTTTTAGATTTTACTATAAGCAGTTAGGTAGAACCAAGCCTCTCCTTCAGTACTTTGCTTAGAAACCTAAATTAAATACCCAGTTTTCAATTATTTACAAGTTCTGTCTTCCACAGAACACTGGAAAACAGTTCCACTTATAACAAGGAATAACCTGTCCTCCAATTTCCAATAACATGTACCTCATTTCTATCTTAGATTTCCCAAAATCACTTTTTTTTTTTAAAGATTTATTTATTTGTTTATACAAGCACTGGGTACAGTCAGAAGTGCAGGAGGGTGAGAGAATTTACCAGAGCCAGAGCAGGGAACAGAACAGGCAGACTGACGAAATACACTGCTGAGGGGAGCAGCGGGCACGGCAGGAGAGGTCTGTCGTGCCATGTGGGACCCTCCCCAGTGGCCGGGGATCAAACCAGTGCTGCAGAGGCTGCGGGCAGCTTCGCAGCCCAGCGCTCAACCACTGCACCACTAGGGGAGGCCCCCAAAATCACTCTTAACACCCGTATTTCTGGAATGTACTTCCATACTCTTCCAACCACTAACCATTACCCAGTTCCTAAGCTTCTTCCATTCATTTAGGCATTCAGAACCCAAATTCTCAGTTCTAAAATCTGTTTTGATTTGGGCTGCCATAACAAAATACTTTGGTTGGATGCTTTGAATGTTTTCTCACAGTTATGGAGGCTGGAAATCAAAGATCTGGTTGGTAGCATGGTCAATTTCTGGTAAGGGATATTCTAGCTTGGAGATAGCCCTCTTTTTGCTGTGTCCCCACCTGGCAAGAACAAGATGTTGAGAGTGTGAACAGGCAAGCTGGAAGGTGTCTCTTACAAGGGTACTAACTATTATAAAGGCCCTCTTTTAGGAATTCATTTAACTTTACCTCCTAAAAGCCCTATCTTCAGATGGAGTCACATTGTAGGTTAGGGCTTCAACACACAAATTTAGGGGATGTGTAATTCATTCTGTAACACTACAGAAAACTTCAAATATGTACACAACATTAAAAAACATTGTATTGTAATCTGTTTTATATAATGTAAAAACTAATATATCTTCATGTATTCCACATAATTAAATTTTTCTGTGATAGGTTTTTTGTTGTTGTTTTAATGTGTAAGAATTTTAATATATTAGTATTCACACAGGGAAGAAGAGAAAGGATATAGTTTCCCAGAAGAACACCCAAAATTACCCATCACCCCTTGGATAAATGTCAGCCAAACAGGACTGGCCCCAGGCAGGGCTGCTGAGACCTTAAAACCTGCCAGAAGTCTAAGGCATCTTCTGTCAGGGAATTTTAGGAAAGGGGCAGAACCATTCAAGTCTGGGACAAAAGGAGCAAAATCAAAGTATAAATCAAGGTAATGGCTGCCATTATCAGTCTCCCCACATGTTTCTCACCTACAAGTCTCTCCTAAGTATCTCTACATCTGTGATAGGTTTTAATGGTAGTGCATACTTTTAAAATTTAATTTCAAAATTTTAGTTACTGCTTTATTTTTAGTGT